GTTTAGTTAATTCTGATAATACTGTATCTGCTCCTGTTGCTTTCCCTACTTCTTTATAGCTTTGTCAAACTCTGGCCTATGTATGCTAAAACCTAGTTCTTCGTGTTTGGTTGCTCTAATTCTGGTAACGTTTCTTCCGCGCTATGTAAAAGTTTGAATTTCAATTTACTAGTTCCAATTTAAATTATTTATGGAAAAAATTAGCCATGTTCCACAATATGGAAATGTCAAACAAATTAGATGCACAACTTTAAATAATAATTTTTTTAACGTAACTTGTTACTCCAATAATAGCGCAACGAAATGTTTTGCACCTTGGACCCTAAAACTTTCGTGGTAATAAGTTATTTAAATGCAACTATGCAAGAACTTTAATCCAATAATGCACCGAAACGAAAATGTTCGCTTACGTATTAATACGGTAACGTTTCGCAATATCCCCGGTTCTTACACGAAGAAGTTTACTTGTTTCTTAAATCCAATGCGTTAACTCATGGTGACTCGTAACGGATTTAAAATACACCCACAAATAAACTTTGTCGAACTTCACTGTTTTCACTTGAAATCTGTTAAAAAAAACTTAAACTTTCGCAATACACTATCAGGTACGACTACGCGGCTGACAAATCTGTTCGTGTACCTCGATTATACGGTTTTCAGTTCTAACTTTTATAGTTTCGTAGGAGAATTTGCTAGAAAATTTGTGTAAATTAAAATAAGCAATCCACAAGTTGAGTAACCGAAAAATATCTCAAACAGTGACACTAGATACTCTGTTCTAGAGCTAATCGCAATATACAGAGGTCTCGTTTAGATCGTCCACTATTGACGCTTCTGTAAATCGAGAACATAAAATTTAGTTTCTATTCGCCCATTTGCTATTTTCCAATTAAATTTGGGCGACTGCGATATTGACATTTGTTTTATGAGAAAATTTATAGCTTTTACGACACTTCAATACAAAATCGGCGACTACGCACACTTTTAAGTATACCGCTACATACCTACGTAAAGAAATTGTTTAAAATCTACTGCATCATGCCCCATGTTTTCATTATATCATGAGTATGCCCCATAAGCTGGACACATGGAGTTACTGACAGATCAGGCAATCAAACACGATATTACAAATAACGGTCATTAGGTCAATGAAAATATTAACACTACCGTTGTCAAATTTTTGCAAAAGTTATTTTATTCGTAGAAATCACAAAACACTCAAGCCTAAGTTCAAATGCCTTTTCTTATTTTTTCCGAAAAGTGAAGGCCATCAGTGGTAATCCGACATTCAATGGAAGCGGGTGGAAGTAAATTTTTTGGGGGTAGATTTTGAGATTCTATAAACAATGCAACGCCCTGGTAACTTTTCTTTCAATCATAGCATAGCATCATTAAGGAATAAGGAAATCTAGATGCAGCACAGGGTGACACTTCCAGTCTGTTTCGAGAATGTGGAACCACCGTCCTCTCACCATCCCCATCTAAAAATTTTGCGAAGCTTTGCAAAGCTCCTAATTTTTATCGTTACCGTAAAAGACACACTGACTATGTAGCTAACTGAGATTCCAACCACCGTCCTCTCACCATCCCCATCTAACAATTTTAAATTACAATCTATCACTTGCGAAGCTTTGGAAAGCTTCTAATTTTCATCGATACCATAAATGACATACATAACCGCAAGTCGGGTGTTCCAACCTTACTAACAGTGTTAAATAAATTATGTCGAGTCGAGTTCAGAAGCAGTGTCCTCCCCCAGATACCTTAAATGTAGAAAATGTACTAATATTTCAGTTCCTACTTGATTTAGTTCAATTTTCTTTCAATCTTTGTGACTTTCCTCCTCATTTTGAAAAAAGTTCAAAACTCACAGGAGAGCTGGCATTTTAATTATGTGCTACACTTGAGATAATCGAAGGAGACCAAAACCGTTTCATTCAAATTTAAAATGTTGAGGAGGGGTGGACTAGAGGGCGGGTAGCTGCATGCAGCAGTGTAGCTGTACGTACAGAATACCCTAACCTATACTGATGAACCAGTTTTGGACATTTTTTGATGCCTCTAATAAGAACAAAGGTATGGTGGTATTCAGTTGTAGGTAATTTACTGCTTAATTATCACTGGGATAAAAGTGAAGCTACTGATTATGAAATTAAAATTGCCTATCAAAAAAGTCCACGTGCTGGGTATGTGAAAAGTAAACCTCGTCTAGAAGCGTGGAGACAGCAGCACCCTATCAAAGTATAAGGATTATTAAACGCACAATCCGTTTTCATTACACTTTTTAATACGATAGATATACCTAGCGATACGCTCATTTACTATTAAATGGCAACTGTCAAAGTTACCTACAACAATTAATCAGAGGGAGGATAGCTTGCTTATTTATAAAATAAAATTGAACCAACCTGTTTTAGGAGCGCAAAGTACTGTAGGTATTATAAGTAATCGTATTGATTTGCTGTTCTACGTACCTTCGTCTATTTACGTGAAAAATTACGGTTGTTATTATTATTCATAGGAAAACCTGTGCGACGATGAAACTTCGTAGGGACGCCATGTCATTATGTCATATTATTTCTAGATTATACTGAAACATCAAGTATATTATTAAATGTCGAAGCTGTTGCTTTGAAAGTGACATGTATAAATTTTAAACGAGGCGCTAGGAAGCGTAGTAAATAATGCAGGGTCTAATTTTAATTTTAATTTCATCAGGTTTCGTCTTGCTCTTTTGAAATATTAATTTTCGGAGACTCTAAAAATAGAGAGCCCCACGATTACATGCCCAGCTTATTAATAAAACACCGACTTTATTATGTTAATACGGTAGGCAACAAAAGGGCATCGCTCGTACTCATTTTTCAAAATAAAGTGCCTTTAGTGAAATCGATGCGCTGCGACTTTACAATAAAATGTGCTTCTTGTATCGGCAGAAACATTGTATTTAATTGCAGGTTGCATTGCACTGTAAACGCATTTATGATACCGCACATAAGTGGTAATGAAATTTTATGTGCGAGCAACTATTAAATTGATATCAACGAAAGCGTATAGTGCAACCAATTTACGATTAATCCCAAGATATAAAATATAATACGGTATGATGCAGCTTAATTCTCTCCTTTATGACAAAATTGATCTGCGGGCGAGCTAGTTGTCGTAATTTCTAATTTCGATATCTGCAATATGACTGAGGATTCAGGTCGGTACTTTCTATGTGCAAAGTTTCCGAGTGTGCTACTGTTTTTATTGCCCGCTCGAGGTGAAAAGCAAACGACGATAATGTTTCGAAAATAAGAAACGCATCGACAATTGATACAATTCCTATTCGATTTTGTGTCATTTTTAACTGCTCACCCTCCCAGTTAATGTGATTAGAAGCAGAATGGTACATAAAATGAGAAACTAACGTGGAATTGCTAGTTTCTCAATGTTGTTTGTTCTGTATTAGTCTTTATTAGGGTATATTATTGTGTATAAAGTAAGCAGACGAGAGATACAATTGTAGGGTTCCAAATTAACTTTACGTTCCAGGAGTTTATGTTTCGGTACCAAAGGTAACTTTAATTTAAATTGTTAAAAAAGGACGTAATATACTTGTTAAATTTCGGCAGTAAATTTTCATATCCCCAAATGTATTACACGTAATCTTAATTACATCTCCAAATTAAAATATACTCATTAAAAATCCGGAGTAGGAAGTTAGTAGTGTGGCAATTATGAATATTTTACGTCCTATCTGATGCATACACAAGAGGGTAGTTCCGAAAACTATACATTACATGCGAGGAAAGACAATGACAACGGAATTGTTATCAGTTTGTTGACGTCAGGAAGGTATCGAGCGATGACCAAAGTAAACAAGCGGCGACATCTAGTCGTTGCCGAGCTACTCACCCAACACGAAGGTCTCTGAAACGACACGGCTATTCAGAATCCTGAAATATAACCGTAAATACCCTGAAAAGAAATTACAAATAGCGTGGCTGGAATAATGGCACGGTCCATATTTATTTACGACTTTCTCGAGCTACATTTGGCACCCTCATATTGCACGAATTGTAAACGGAAAAAGGTCGCAATCCCTACTTGCATGAAAATTGCAGACTTATCTACATCAATAATAGCATTTGCGCATTTAAATGAAAGATAGTACGAAATCCGCCGTGTCTCGTATTGAGCACGTTTTTGAACTTCCCTGGCATTAAAATAAAAACACCGCCGCCCAACTAAATGGAACCTCCAAAGTGGAAAATTAAATTCTGAATACTATAGAAGCTTTCATTTTCCGTTATTTTAAAACCGCATCTTTTATTAACGCCCACTCCTTTTACCAACGGCCATTTCTCCCGCGTAATACAATCACGAGAGGGCACTTCCACCAACTTGACTTCGTTTTTTGTTGCGGCGCTTTTACAGGAACCTATCTAATAATCGTCAGGTTCTCATTTATAATTTAGGCTGTAATTGAGTGTAACAATGTAATCGAGTAACAAACTACGCACTTACATCAATCATTTTATTTCACACCGAGCATAGGAAATATCTAAATTTAATGAAATTTATTTGTATTGATGGACTACCGTATAAATTTGTTATACAAGCTTTAATTAACTTATAAAAACTTGATGCTAGTTTTTTTAACCTGTAGATAGTCATTATCTTCATTTGAATTCGAATTTGTATTAAATAAATGCTTCTCTTACGTTTAAAGGGCAACGCATAGGCAAGCCATACGCATTTGTAACATCTACCACATCTGTCTCATACTGTGGCATAATTGGTGCCGACCCGACAGTCTGCAATCGATATCTGCAATTAATGTTACTTCATTATACCATCCTGAAGTTAGCCTTCCTTCACGATACTTTATTGCAGCAAAGTTTTCACGTTGCATTAGCGTTCAAAATTTACTTTTACTGCATTTAAAGCGAAATAGCCCTAATAAAATATGCTGCTTCTGAATAGGTACATTAACTCGCACTCTTTTGTTACAGATCATTTCTACATGACCACTAATTGATGTTGGCTCCAACCGAATCGATTTCCAACGCTAGTAAGGATGCAGCATACACATATTTGGTTTGTACAATTTTATTTAGTACAGGTTATTCTACAGTTATAAGCAATTAATCCTTTTGCGCGCTCCTATAATTGAGATATACGTGAGAGTCTACGTTTCTTATCGTGCAGAGTTAATGAAGAGTGTTGTAGTGCTGCTTATATGCTTTAGTTAGAGGAAACAAAACCGTTTTCTGCAAAGCAAACGAATTTCACTGCATTGTCTACCTAACTTCATTAAAGATTAGCATAAATCACGAACTAGGATTGAAGATATTAAAAATCTTTGGCATATTTCACATTCACACTCAGCAAAAAGCTATGTTTTGCACGGTTTAAACAACTCAGAGCGTTTAAAAGTGAGTACATCTTTGCCACAAATAGAAAATGTAAACATGAAAATTCTATATGGGTCGTACAATGGATTGAAATAAACACACAATTATTTGATTGATAATGAGAATCAAAAAAATTTATTTCGAACTACTTGGAAGAAAATCTCAAGAAAAACCTGAAATAAAAAGGGGCACATACCCGTTCTTACCCCACACGCAGGTGTTCGATCAAAATAAATAAGGAAAAACTTAAAATTACTTACAGTTTTTATTAACCTATAACCTGGTAAAAACAACGGTTGCGATAATCAGGCACATGTACTAACAAAAAAACACTCGATGACTCGTTGGCAGCTTCAGGACTACTGCACTGAATCCAACCACTCGAATAGGTTTGTTGAATTAAATGATAACATTTATTTCTTATGACTTATGACTGTTCAGACGAGAAACACTTCAAAAATTTGTTGATACGATAACGATCCAAAATGATCCACTACAACTGCTTTTCCAAAATCAACGCAACTTTCCTCCGTAAACGGACAAGCCGCATTAAACTTTGCACTAACTTTAACTAACAACTGCATTTGCACAGATAATTCTAATTGGGACGAAACATCGTCCTCAAATAAGCAAAAAAGCCCATTACTTAACAAAATTAGCGTCCAGCGTTATTAATTATATTCTGAATAAAGTGTATACAAAAGAAGAAAAAATGGAAATGTTGCAGATGAATTTTAATAATCACAGAATTTATTTGCTGCTAAATATCCCGATAAGCAAATTCCGCCAATTGACATAATTGACAGCGGCATTAAACAAATTCGATGTTGATGGCTGAATTGTTAATGAACAGAGCAGAAAAGGAACTTGCCGTGTTTTAATTGTAGAAGAAAATCCAATTTACATCACTGTTCGTATTTAGCTGGAGAATTAGAAATTTGTCACATGTACATATTACATGCGACAATTCACAGCAAATGAGTAAAACTCTAGTTACTGAAAAAGCCACCTTAAAGACCGTTTCTCAGTTATCTGCAAAACAAATCGGCCGAATACGTATCTAAAATAAGTACTATAAGCTTCTTAATTGTTTCCACTCTTGTCAAATTTGTGAGTAAGGTGAGTTGCATAATTGTTAGGCATATCAATACATTGAGATATTTAAGAATGGTCCAGTGTAAAAATTTACGCACTGTATAATCACAAAATGGATATTTCTCCGAATAATCTAATAAAAAATGAAACAAATTTCGTCATTGTTAGTTGATATTGTACAATTTGAAACGATGAAAGACGGAACTAGAGATTACCATATTTGCGAAATGACACGCAACATGAAAATATTGAAAAGGCTCGGAAGTCTCCAATTCCATAACAAATTTTCAGCATAGTTCAACAGTCCATCAGTCAATTTCAAAGAGAGGTTAGTTAGAGTGTAAAATGTCCTTTGCTTGTGAAAGATATTTTTGGCTCTGTGGCAAAGCGCATTAGGCAGTTGATTAACATTGGAAATCTCAGAGAACTAAAGCTTATACGAAATGCTTAAACGAATATAAAACAAATGGTCTTTACTCGATTTTTCATTTACACAAAATAACGGTTTTCATAAAAAGTTTTCAAAAACATCGTTTCAGTATTGATTACTTAATAGGTTTCTTGTTTCGCAGTTTTTCAAGCGAAGCGTGTTGTGTTGTACAAAATGTTAAATTTGGTGTCGAACCAAAATAAATAACTTTCAGGAGAGTGGGATCATATAAGTCCTAAAAATCTTCATAAATCAATAAGGTACGCGACATACTTCAATTCACATCAACTGTAGCATAAACTTTCTGGCGAGTTGTGAAAGGAAACGCGAGAATTGCGTCGATTGTAAGATATTTTTAATACATCTTGAATTTTCCATTCCGGCATTCCTTTAGGTAACAGTTTTTACGTCGTTTTCTTAAGTAGGCGGTATTTATTTATAACACGTTTTAATGCGTTTTTCGAGTATGAAAATTCATTGAATCTAAATTCCAGCTCTTGTTTACGAATCTCAAATTTAAGTCAGAAATGTAAGTGGATTTAAGAATGTATGCTTTCGCAGTAAATTAATTATTCATCACGTCGAACTGGAGATAAACTTCCGCTAATGGAAAGACGATGCACCGGAGTGCAGGTGGAATTCAATTTTCCATGATTTGTTTCGATATATACCCAGCGCTTTAGGAGTTGATTGCTAATTTCTGTACTAAATTCACTTAGAGTCGCTGAAAATGCGAAAGAGGTATATCTAATTCTCCGGAGTCGTCATAAAACTATCACCGTGTAACATAAATTGTCACAAAGGCGAGGCCAGCTTCATCCTAGTTTATATAGATTTGAGAGTAATAAAAAACGCTAAGGAAAATCGCAAGGAAACCGTACATTTTCCTTAAACAGACGCCTTATACCACAATTTCAATATGCAAATCTAGTCGTAATATTTGAATTATTCATTTATATTTAACCGCACGTTTAGATTCAGAATCGTTCTAAGGATACATTTATACACGCACCTGAAAAACTTCATTTGGGTTCAGCCTATCTCCTTCTGGGCCAAATGTTACTGAATTACTTTGAGCTTTCTAGAGTTTGTGACTTTCTGTGAAACCGATCTACACAGATGGAACATATGGCTAGAAACTAAAGTTTCCACTTGCTTGATTATTTTGGAAAGTTAAACAAACATGTTACAAATAATGCACCGCCCATATCATATCACGTTACGGTTATTTTTGGCATGATTTAACAAGCTCAAACTTACTACAACCGAATTTCATTGTTAAGCTTATCGAAGTAAGAAAATTCGAATGTAATTGTGTGGAAAAGCTGAGGCGTATGAAGTAGAAGACTAGCTGAGGCAAATGATGAAGCATTGTAGTCATCTACAACTATCATAGTTAAGGCGCAAAAGAGTAATGAGGATTTGTTTTAACATTAAGGTTAAGAGGAAAACCCCAAATGTGGTGAATTTATGGAATTAAGTACTGAGGCGCAAGTTCTTGACGATTGTAAAAGCGTATGTCAATGTTGCTCTAAAATAAAAAAAAAATAAAAAAAATAAGTTATTGGGTTATTAAAGTTATGTGACAAACAAATGTTTTAAAAGCTGTCTGCTATGTGTGAAGTATTTGTTCTGTCATTTATCTCGTTGCCATTGTCCAGATCAGATAATTTCGATATTATTTACCTGAACTGTGAGTAATTATTTTTCTTGAAATCTCTTGAATTGTTTTGTCGATTTGAGCGTTTTTCAAACGGGGTGTAGTTTAAGTTTAAGCTTGTGATTAGTGTCAATACTTTTTGATTACCCAGACGTTCAAGAAAACACACACTTCAATTATATAGTCCTCGTACCTGACAAATTCTCAATTTTAAACATTTTTCAAAATTTAAACCCTTTTCACATAAATAATAAAGCACAAGGGTTTTAAATTGTCTTGATTAACACTAAGATACAGCGAAACTAAGTAAGTAAAACAACCCGTTTAATCTTTTGCCAAAGGAAATTTTTCTTTTGCTTCCGATGGTTTTCGTTCTTCATTTTAATTGTAAGATTTTCGCGAGAAATTGGGGTTTCAAAACGATGTCCCAAAAAATGTGAACTTTCGCTGACTTAACATGGAACCCTTGGAACTTTTGGACCGAATGCCCTCAAAACTTTCCCATACTAGCCCCTCCCTGTTCTTACCTAATTAAGTAGTACCCTAGTACCTACAAAATGGCGAATCTATGAATCTAATAAAAGCTAGTGTGATAAATCATTCCCACTTCATTTTCAAATATGCCAAATTTGCCATTTTTTGTGACAACACGCCGAGTGTACATTTGTAACTAAATATCTCTAATTAAAATGACAGAATATGAGCCCTATTCTAGACATCTCGCCCTCTAGGTTTCCGAAACTAATTGAGAGAAAAAAAGTGCTATTCAATTGAAAATACGCAGAAAGGATGATCTTATTCCAGTACCAAACACTCCCGGACTTCCTAAACCGGCTTTATGGTTCAGTGGTAGAGCGTTGGACTACAAATCCGGAGATCGGGTTGAGGTGAATTTTTCATCTGTGGCAGATGGAAATTACCTTAGACCAGTTTTTCGAGCATTCTGTCGGCTATACTCCGAATTAGGTTTTCCTGCAGTTTTCCTAATTCGTGAGGTAAATATCAGAGTAGTATAGAACACTTAAAACCTTCTGCAGAGGCACCTCTAAAAAGTATTATGTGTGTCATTTTGTAATTGGACGCAAGCCTATTCAGGGCCCAGAACAAGAGAGGGATAATAAATAGATAAATACCAAACCCAATATAATTTATTGGAAAAGTCACCCCCTAATTTTTTACCCCTTGTACATTTCACATGATATGAAATGTTTAAACTGATCTAATTCTTAAAATCGCAAAAATTTCCATTTTACATATTTCAATAAAATTCGAAAAATTAAATCCACATTTAGAGCTACCGTTCCATATTTAATAGAAATATTGACGGTGTTCAGTTTTACTTTTTAGCGTATTAAATAATAAATCAGCAGGTTTCGCGTAAACTTCCTGAAGTTCAGGAAATTATAAAAAATTACCAAATTAGGTAGTATAACGTCTTCTTATGCTAGTTATTGGTTCATTAAACGCTATTTCACCCCATTCATCGATCGTGTAAACA